TTGACAAACCTTAATATTCTCTATTGCTTCAGTGTTATATCAAGGATGCTGTTTGTTCAACAAATCATTTTAAACAACTGTTAAGTACAAAAAAAAAAAAAAACCTGTGCTAAACTGCTGAGCATATAAATATAAATAAAAACTCACTGCTCTGCCCCAAAGTGGATAACCAGTATGGGAGAGAAAGAAATCAGCAGTTTCCCAGTACATGGTCCTACATGCTAACAGTGAGAAGTTCATGGTGGGTGCACTGGGGTCTTGAATTTGAAGGGGTTGTATCATGTAAAAACAGACTGAGTGTGTATTTGTAGACCTTTCACATAGTAGATAAGAAGAGGGCAAAAGAAAGTATTTGAGAAATCTGGAGCTATTCAAAGAAACAATATTATTTTGTATCTGGACATATAACAGTGTTTGACATAAACGAGGTATCCTTGAGATATGTTTTGAACAAAAATAATTTTCTATAATTAAATTTTTGCTTCAGTTTTAATATTTTCATTTATTTATACTAGTCACACAGTCCAATATCATATATTCCATATATGATATATAGCATGCTTTATATCATCAGTATACTTTCTCTTGTGTTATCCATGAGTTGCTTACAAAAGCCATAAACTGTGTGAACTCTTAAAAATTTCAATTTAAAAGGCCACTGAAAGTTTTTCATATATTGATTATTTTTAAGTAACCTCTACCTAATTTATAGGGTTTATTATTTAGCTTAGTTAAACAGTTGTTATCCTTTAAAAATTTGTGAACGTGAACAATTAGATGCCTGTAAAACCCCTAGATTCATAGACTATTAAGCTAAAAGAGACACTTGAAAATAATCAAATTTTTTCTTTTTACTAATAAGTTAACCAAGGTATCTAGTACGGTTAAGTGACTGTCCAGGTTCTTACAGCTCCTAGTCAAAACCTGAAGTCTTTTCTGGAGTGTGATTCCAGAGGCTCTATTCCAAAGTTTCTGTGCTTTTCACAAAGACCAGATGTGCTCTTTCTACTCCAATACATACCTCTTCTAAGTGCATAGACTTTTTCACTTTTATATTACTTTATTATTATTACTCCCAGACTGGGAAGAATACGTTTCAATTAGTTTTGGGGATACAAATTAGAAAAACAAACACCAAAAAATAACAAAAAAAGGAGAGCAAAGGAATCCAAATTTATCTGTAATAATTTTTAAAAGTTGCCTGAAGATATTGCATTCTTTGTACTTAGATCTGGTAGCTTATAGTAATTGTGTGATTTTTTTTCAACTACATAATAAACTCTAGCAAGTCTGTTTTTAAGAACTGTGCAAAATTAGCTGTCCATATTTCAAGACCAGATAAGAGTGGGGGAGGAGTTGCTCTCAGTCAGTCATAGGCACAGAATCTACATTTGTTTACTATCCAGTGCCATCTAGTGTCTATTAGGGAAAATAGCAGTAAGATATATATATATCTTACGGTTATTTTTTTTTCTTCTTAAAATAATATTTCTAAAATTTAACTGGAGAAGAGTGGAAGTAAAATGAAATTTTTTGAAGTGATCTTTGAATTGTGTATGGAAAAAAAGATGCCAGTATATGTTTATCAGGTGAAACATCAGATTTTCCCATTTCATTTAAAATCGGATCTTATAAATAAATTGGACATTATGAACATATATGTACATGAGAGTTTTACCATGTTACAAAATGTTGTTTGGTGATGTTTTCATTTATCCTCCTATGAAAATAATGAGTATAACATTTTTTTGTTATCTTTTTGATCTGAATATCCCATTCAAATCCTTATTCAAAAATTACTTTGACTGATTTTGAAAAGTGAACTCCCCATCTCCTTTGTGAAATTTTTAAGACTTTATTTACAGTCATTATTAATGCATTAATGCAGACCCTTCACCAATGAAAAATGCAAAATATATCTTATAAAGTAAATTATGATTATTTTGAAATATTAAGAACTAAGGTGAGATTTGCCTTGCCAAATCACAAAATTTACTTTTAAGTTATAGTAACTTAAACAGTGTGTTACACAAATGAAATTATCTAGTGATAGAGAATTGAGACTTCAAAACAAACCCATGTGTTTGTGAAGATTCAGTGCATGTCAAATGCGCCAGTTTATCAGTGGGAAAAGGCAACTGTTCAATATGTGGCTTTCCATTGGACAGTTTCTGTGAAATAAATAAGGATAGATTTAATCAGCTTCTTCCCAACCCTGAATATGTGTAATAGTCAGCCCTTATTTAGAGGTTCATTATTGGTATTTTTTATTTGCTATAGTAACTATAATTTCTTTCAACTACAAGAACCATAAAGGTTGTGTTGTGCCAAAACATGTAATTCTAACCAGTGAATAATCCTCAATCAGAACTGACAGGAGATGTTGAACAGGTGAAGTGAACTGAAAAAAAAAAGAGTAGGGAGCCACTAATACAAAGAGAGAGAGTGTGTAGGTATGGAAATGCACCAGAGCCAGGTGTGTGTTCCTAGGCTGCCCCTCATTTTCCCTTCTGCCAGAGATTTTGGCATTTAAATTGCAGTGTTTTCAATATTCTGTTAACAGTGCCTCTCAGATCTTCATTGGAAACATTTCTGCTTTATAAATATACAAACAGAACAGAAATCATAAACTTATTAGCAATATAAGTAGAATTGTTTACTTTTTGATAATTTGTTATCTGCATGGAGAAGATGCAGGTATAGGACAGAACTGAAAGATTTTTCAACCTTTCATTTCCAGCAAGCCTAAAAATCTATGAAATGACTTCCCACATACCCTGCAGTACAGTTTTTGCTTATCTATTTCTTGTGCTTCCTATAGAAACCCTACATAGAGGCAGAAAGTGTATTATAATATTAAATAAATACTTATTTAATAATTTTAGGAACGTATAATATATTCTACCATTTTTGAATTATGTAGCTGAGTATAACTTGAATATACAGCTAAATTTGAACTTAAAGACTGAAGGCTGAGTTATCCAAAAGTGATGTGTGTTACATGTCTTCAACAAACAGAGCCAACACTATGACTGAAAGAACCAAAAATCAAAACCAAAGCTACTGTTGGAAGCTTTCTGCAGATCGTGTTTTCCATTAGTATTCATAGGACATTCTTCATTAAGAGTTATCTGAACCCCTCGGTTCAATTTAAGTGCATTTCCTGCAGTTTTGTATTTGGTAGAGAAAAGGAACAGTTGCTCAGCATCCTTCTCATAACTAACGTTCTCGCAGTTTGAGAAAAGATTGGCAATACTGTTTTTTTTTTTTTTTTCTTTTCAGGTTAACCTTAGCATCTTTGGAGTGAGTAGTAACCCTGATGCCACCACACCACATACAGCCTTGTAGTTTTTTCTTGCAACCATTTCTTCTTCCTGCTCCTGAATCCTTTTTCTTTCCTCTTCTCACTTGTAAGAATATACCTGGCTTGTATTTGGCCAATGATAAACAGAAATCTAATCATAGTCTCATTTCTTCTTTGCCACACATATATTGGTATATAATGGAATTAAATTAACTTTAAAAACAGTGGCACTGATTACTAGTCTTTTAAAAAATGAATAAGGTAAAACTGTATCATCTCTTTAGATTTTTTATATCTAAGAGTATACCTTATTCTTAAATACCCAAAGTTTAATCCTATTTAGAAGACCCATTTAAATATATTTTTTTCACCTGCATTTTATTTAATAGCAAGTACTCTTTAAGCACAGTCCTAATTCTTGTGAATATAAGTATTTTGAATTTATGCACTGGTCCTTTTTAATGGTACTACATTTAAAGCTGCCAGGATTAATTCTAAATTTTGCTTTCCTGTTCCCTACTGACTTAGCCAAAGAGCTCAGGTCTATAGGGCTCATTCTCCTGTGATTGAAAGATACCCCCAAAAAGAGTTTTTAATATTACAGAGTTTAAAAACTACTTCTCTGATAAATTATTAAGAGTGTTTAGGGATGGAGTTGTGGCTCAGTGGTAGAGCAGTTGCCTAGAATATGTGGGACACTGGGTTTGATTCTCAGCACCACATATAAATAAATAAAAATAATAAAGGTCCATTGACAACTAAAAAATATTTTTAAAAAGCATTTAGCTCAGTGTCTCACCCTTAGAACTACCTCAGTCACAGTAAGTAGTTGTAGGAGTGTGTTTAGGTTAAGGGGATCCTCTGGTACCTTCTGCTGCCAGTCTTTAACCATTAAGTTACAACAGTCCAATCAAGAGGAGGGTAAATAAAATGTAGGGGCAGTTTACCTGAACCTTAGCATCTTTGGGGTGAGTAGAAACCCTGATGCCACCCCACCACACTACAACACTGCCTGCCAACCCTAGATGAGTTATTTTGATTGTCAATTGACAATCTAAAAATGTGATTGGATTTTATCAAAATAAATTATCTTTAGTATTTTAAAATGGATTTATTTTTTAAAAACTGCTTTCCACTCAGTCATTTGGAAAGACTGCCAAGATTGGTTTTTCAGAGAAGGGCAGATTTTTCATTGAGAATATTCTGAATCTGTAATTTTTTAGGATAGTCAGTTTAAGCAATGTGAATAATTGAGCCTTAAAAAAATCATGGAAAGAAATGATAATGATAAATAAGGAAATGATATTGATAATGAAAAATGTAACCAAACCCCTTGCTGCTGATCTATCTTCAGGTATACCTGTCCAGTCCCCAAGGAGTGGGATCCAGTATTGGTTTTGTGGTTGGGTAGAACCTTGAGCCCTTTTTCTCATTTTCCACATTTCAGGTACCAAAATAGAGGCTATTTTACGAGGTTTTTGTGCCTGCACATCCTTTAAGTCCTCTCTCCACCTGTACATTGTGTGAAATAGTCCCGGGAGCGACAGTTCACCCCACTTGCTCCAGCTGGTTCAAAGCAATGCACCTCTCCTCCTTTTATGTCTGTTTAACGGGTTCATAGACTTCCCATGAATGCTTTCCATACTGTGTGAAGGTACAGGAGAGCCTATAAAACATGTTCTTCTCTTCTTCCTAGAGTCTGTGTGTGTTCACACCACCTGGGATAAAGGAAGGAAAACCCCGACTCATCCCTGCCGGGCCCATTACCCAGGGCACCACCATCTCTGCTTATGTGGCCAAGTCCAGGAAAACACTGCTTGTAGAGGACATCCTTGGGGTAAAGGGCTTTTAACTCTGTGTGACAGTTTTAGTCTGAAAGATTCAATTAAGATGATATATCATTTTGACATATAATTTGAGCCATTTTATTAAAAAATTAAAGCAAAATTCATTAAATGAATTCATATATAAATTAACTTTTATATGCAGAAAATCAAATCTTTTGGTGTTAGGGGTGGCAGGTACTGGGGATTTAACCCAGGGATGCTCTTCCACTGAACTACGTGCAACCCTTTTTATTTTTCATTTTGAGACCAAGTCTTGCTAAGTTGCTCTGGCTGGCCTCAAACTTGCACTCCTACTGCCACAGCTTTCCAAGTTGCTAGGACCACAGGCCTGCACCACTGTGCCTCACCAGAAAATTAGCTGTCGTATACTCACTAGTAGCTGGATTTGAAGACTGCATGCTTCCGTACATGCAGTATGATTAAACCTCATGTATATGTTGATATCCATGTATTATATTTAATATATATTAAATGATCAGTCTTTCATGCTTCACATCTTGCCAGGGTATACATAAATGTGTTAGCTCTTGCCTCATGACCAATCACCCCAAATTTTAGTGGCACCATATAGTAGCCACTTGGTATTTCTTGTGAGCTTCCACTGTCCCCTTCAGCTGATCTCACTGTTGGCCAGAAGTTACTTGCTGGCTGACTGCGATGGCCTCACCTCTCCACTATCTCTCCCTCTCCTCTGGTAAGACTAACCTGGTATGTTCTTAGGATGGTAGCAGGAGTGCCAGGGAAGAAGTGGAAATGTGCCTAACTCAGACTGGCTGCCCTCCCAGTAGCCAGTGCAGATCACAAGAGCAGGCCCAGACCTGGTGTTCAAGGGCAGTAAAAGAGAACATGACTACCAAGAGACATGACAAATTGGAACCCTTAATGCAGCCTTCCAAGTGCACACAGGCATTTTCATGAAATGTTACTACAAAGAGGTACAGACTTTAAACTGGAATATAGACTTG